GGAGACAATAATACAAACACCACTGGATGATTGCTCGCTCTTCAACCAATTTCTCGGGGCTTGATGTAGTAGTTTCAATGTTAAGAGATTTGCATCTTCCTAATTTTAATTGTCAAACTATACAGGCTGCTTCAAGGCAATTTGACGGAAAGTTTGATGGGGCTACATAGTCATTCAGCAACCTTTTTAATCACAAGCTGTGACATCCAGTGGCTCCAACGGCATCTGTGCTGGGACCTGCGCACCAAACAAGTTGCCTCTCAGATCCCGTCAGCCTCTCACCTGTCGACAACAGACCTAGACCTGTGACCTGTGTGTGTGTGTGCGTCAGGCATGGCCAGGATGTCGCCGGATGGCGGTCTTCTGCAAGGTTTTGGACAAAATATGGCAACATGTTTTTCCATATCTGCTGGAAATCATGGCAACATAAAAAACGAAATTCCGTGCTCGGTTGGAAACCTTTCCGCGTTTACCCAGGATGCTCAATTTCAAGGCCGCCTGCGAATCGACCCACCAACCACACAAACACACAGCCATGCCTTTGCGCACACGATATTCTATATACTTCAAATCTTGAAATTCGGCACCGACTTCTGAACAGCGTCCCAGCGCAACACCCGTGGGTGACAGAGCTTCCCAGAAAGTTTCACAAATGGCAACCGTCAAGTGCTTGTGGACATGCCATTGGAAGATGAGCGAAACTATAGCAAGTCGGTTGGTGGTTGAAAAACCCAAAAAGACTGTCAGAAAATGATTCTCATATATATATATATATATACAATTAATAAGGGGACATGGTGTGGAAGGCTGTTTTGGCACATTTGGGATCATTTCGGCGGTGATTTTCCTCATCTAGCATCAATTCAAGGAAAGGCGTGTGGTATGGACAAATTCCGTGCATACAACGCTTCCTCCCACAAAACATATTTGCACCTGCCTGAACACGGGACGAGGTTTTGCTCTGGTGGCTTCGCTGGCAAGGGGGCCTACAAAAGTGGACCTTGCAGACCGAGAGGTCCGTATAGTTCATGTTGTCTCCTGCTTTGTGCTTGGCTTGCTGAATCAATTTCACCTGAGACCCGGTCCTAGAAACGAGTCCCTCTCATGTTCCAGCCTTCTACAGTGTGTGCTCTGATAATATCATAGACATGTCCGGCTGCCAGCTTGCGTTTTCAAAAACTGCTGCCGATATTGAGCAGCTCCTGAAAGCGCGCGTTGAACTGCGACAATTGACGCCGTTCATCAATGGTATTTTGCGCTTGGTTGCCAAGATGCTGGTTTTACAGTGTCTTCCGGAAAGAGCGCGGTCTTGTTTTTGCGACCAAACTTGGCCGCATTTTTGGGGCCCAAAAACATGTTTGCGAGAGTCGTATTTTCCTTGCTAGACACAGCATTCGAACTTCGAACACAGCTCGGGGGTGGTAACATGGCAAGATATTATCAATATTATAGAAGCAAGGGATGCGCCAATGCACAATGTTGAGGGTGTGCCTGGAACACCTGACAGAAGCCATGCTACTGCGAGGGCTCTGTTCAGAAAAGCCCTATTTTGCTTGATTTTGAAGCTCTATTTTCAGAGCCGCCTGGTGAGCATTGAATCTGAAGCGGGCTCCGAGTAAGAAGAGACAACATGAAGCCAGAAAGACACGTAAAGACCCCGTTTGGAGAAGCCTGGGAATACAATGCTCAAAGAAATCGAAGACGGACCCCTGCATGTAACCCCTCAAATTTTGTGTTTTGCTATTCTTTTTCAGTTCAATGCTTTCACTTGCTGCTTTATCCGGTGCACATTGTCCTTCCAGGGTGCCTACGGCACATGCGTAGAGAGAGAAGCTGGTGTCACAACGTTTTTTTTTCAGGTTTGAACTGGCTTTTGCACTACGAACATATCTATACGACAGTATAAGTCACATGTTCTCAGTCATTTTTTCATCTGTTCATAGTCAACAAGTTGAGAATGCAACATGGTGATTCCACGCCAAATACGTGGGCATGGCTCTTGTCCTGCCGTGAAAGTCTATAGTGTTCGCAACATTCCATATCCCAAAAATAATAAAAATAAACTTAGGAATCAATCAAAATATCAAAAAAGTAATTCACAAATATTCAAAAAATGACCAAAAATAGTTTAAAAAAATAGTTTAAAAAATAGTTAACTTTTTTAAACTATTTTTTAACTTTTTTTTAAACTATTTAGTTAACTTTATTTTAACTATTTGCTATCTATTTTTTTACCTTTTTACAACCAAGTTAACTAAGTAGTTAACTTTTTTGGGAGTTAACTATTTTCTTCTTAATTGTCTAACCTCTTCTATAGGGATGTGCTGGATTGTGGAGAGATACTCTCGTGTAGCCCGAGTTTCTGCAACGCAGTGTTCCCCACGACCAACAAGAATCTTGAATGATTTTGTTTCTTGACTCTTGGGATCTCAGTTTAAGACATGTTTTTTTGGGATGGGGCATGCAGACACCAGTGAGGAAATATTCTGCTTGGATGATT